GCACCAATAGAACTATGAGAATAGTGCTTTTTTAAATTGAACGACAGAGCGCGCATGTTTGTAACTGAAGAATAAACGAATTTCACGTCAAATTTCATCTCCGGCGCATACAGTATTAATTGTTACCCCACACTCCTTTCGGTTATTAATACTCACATTGAATATGCGCCGAGTCGGATGACACGCCAGTTTTAATTCCCAAGCTGTACCGTGTGGCTGCTGCTGCTGAAACCGCACCGGGAAAAGTAGTTAAACGAGCCCCCCGTAAATAACCTGCCCCCCCCCCCTGAGCTTCGAGTGGCGCCTTTCTTTTTTTACGCGACTCCGCATAATCACTTTGGAACGGCGGTGGTGCTTTTAAGCGCGGCGTATAAACGTTCTTTCGGTGCTCGCGAAACACGTAAAACGAACGAGATTTGCATGTATTTGCCTCCCTATTAATAAAATAACAGGGAGATTTACGACGCCGGTGCGCGGACTCGGTTAAATCTTTCATGCTCTATAAAAAATTTTTTTTTAATACTTTTGATTTTACATAGCTGCTAAATTAAGAAATTAAACTCTCATCCCAAGTAGTATCGGTCGATTATAGTCAGACATGTTCCTCTCCCAACAGGTTAGCAAAGCCACAGGGGCGGTTTTTTTTCCCGGAAGCAAGTAGGCGTCACGAATCGAGCCCACCTAGTTACCTCCACTCGACTTTCCACTCAATCGTACAGTGCAAGCACCGGAAATCCCGTCTACAAGTGACGCTACAGAGTCCCAAAGGACTGCACGCCCGAGTGCATCTCCATTGGCATGTTGTACGCAGCACACACGTACACGCACGTAATGGTAGAGAAGAGATGATTAGTCGGGGGGGGGGGAGGCGCACGATCCCCTCGGATCGGTGGCAGAGCGAGAGAAAGACAGCCCGGGCGTGTCATTAGAACTCGAGATTGGAGCTTCCGTGCACGGGATCGTGTTGCGAGCCGATTAGCTTGTTTCTCTTACCTCGGAGCGCTGTCGAGATCGTGATTGTTGGTTTCATCGGGAGGACGGTTACTTCATCCATACGCAACATGCAAGAGGGCTGGGGTTGTTTTGCCAAACCCAACTAAATGACTCGGTTTCGCGTTTGGCGACGAATGAGGGCACGTGTGTCGCGACACAAGATCCATCAAGCTTTGTTCCCTCGAGCGAGCTATCGAGCGCAATGGGTGCCACGGTTTTTCCCTTTCGCCCTTTTATATCCGCACGGAGGGAATGGGAGAGCAGTAATTCGAGACCTCGGAGTCTCAAAGAGAGCGGACCGAAATCTCGCGCTGTCGCCCGTCAATTCCACGTTTCCGGGTAAACGTATATATATACCCGGGGATTGCTCCCTCGGCGAAGCTCCATTTTTACCCCCTCGGTTGTGTGTGCGCCATTTCCCTTCCTCGTGCTCCTTTATGTTTTTTTTTTGCACGAAACAGTGACACTGTAAATATGATCGTGAGGTATGATTGCGTTTCGTTTGTTATTTCCAAACGCTTGGGTTCCTCCTCGTCTCTCGGGGCGGAACTTCACGCTCCAATGGGACGAACAGGAGCCAGTGACTGCCGGATAATTAAATTCGCGGAGACAGACCCTCGCCGCGCCACCGAAATGAAAATACATCGGCTTCACCTCCTTTTGCCCCCTTCGCCCCATTAACGAGGTTTTCTTCTCGTACCGCGACTGTGTACGAGCTTATCGAGTTGACTCGGCGAAAAAATTGATTCCCTCCCCCGATCGTAGCGGAATTCCGGGGCTCGAGCAAGAGGGACGAAAAGCAAGAAGCCAACAAAAGTGGAGACGACGACTTCTTCTTCCGGTAACAGAAAAGCAAATGTACGCGCAGAGACGTATAGGGTACAACTGCAGGTAACTCGATTCGAAGCGCCAACAAATCGAGCGGGGCAGCTCTCGGGTATAAATTTGTTATTCAAGGAAAAGGGTGACTTTGCGAGAGGTTTTCATCGATACGCAGCGAGCCCGCGTCGCTATATCGGTTTCCTCGCCGAGTGACGTTCGTTACGTTTCGCTAGTTCGCTCTAATTTTCGACTCTCCCCGGCTTTCTTTGACCGATGCGACGATGTACAAGCTACCAAAGTGCGTTTGGGACGGAGATTGTGCGTTACGGGTGGCACTCGGTTAGCGCGGCTCCCCGTGATTAGCGGGGCATTCAAGAGCGCCCCGTCGTGCGGATGAGTCAAACTTTCAATTTGCGTCGGAGGAGCCACGCGATCTCTGGCTCGCGCCGTAGACGTTGGGAGCCGCAGGTGGCTTAGCTTGTGCGCGCACGCCATCCGCTAATCAAGGGAGGACCACCGGCTGCGTGATTTAGGGCCAATTTATGCCGGCTAAGCGACAGCTCGGATGTAGCTCACATTGGTAGAGGGGATGCAGTGTGCCGTTTGATGGATGGGCCGATTGTTTGTACTCATTTTGTTGATTTTTACCTTTTTTGTCGCTTTGGAGGAAGTTGACTGGGATCTTCGAGTTGATGGATGATTTATTGGGTGGTCGAAGGTGACGCGGGAACTCGGACGCTTTTCCGATATTCTTACCGTGGTTTTCTGTTTTTACGAGCTCTTTCAAGGTATTTGACTAATCAACGGGACATGTAATCTTTCTCTGACAACGATATAATTGTTCGTATTTTTAATCATTTAATGGAGTCTGTAAAAGTTTCCATCACTATAGGAATTTCTAGTATACATGACATTTTGAAATTCATATTATTTCAGTACTGATTATTAAAATGCCTTATACTAGGTACAAACTTTCACGAGGATACATAATACTTTTTTTTTTTTTTTTTTTTTTTTTTTTTTTTTTTTTTTTTTTTTTTTTTTTTT